GTGCCAGGGACCCCCTCAGTGCCCCCCGGTTTTCCCTATTCCACTCAGTGCCTCTCAATTCCCCCTCAGTGCCTCCGCTTCCCCTCCGTGCCCCCGGTTCCCCTCAGTGCTCCCTCAGTGCCCCCCGGTTCTCCCCGTTCCCCTCAATGCCCCCGGCTCCCCCTCAGTGCCCCCGGTTCTCCCCCGGTTCCCCTCAGCGTCCCCGGTTCCCCTCAGTGCCCCCCGATCCCCTCAGTGCCCCCCGGTTCTCCCCGATCCCCTCAGTCCCCCCCGGTCCCCCCCCGGTTTCCCCTCTAGCGCCCCCCGTTCCCCTCAATGTTCCCGGTTCCCCTCAGTGCCCCCGGTTCCTCCCCCCCCGCTCACCCGGTGCTTGCCGCCGCCATGGAGACGCGTCGCGGCGTGATGACGTACAGGCGACCGGCGCACGGTGATTACGTCACGTTGCCGTGGAGCCCAGGACGCCAAAGGGGCGGAGATGGCGGAGGTGGGACTGGGATGGACTGGGAGGGACTGGGGGAACTGGGAGGGACTGGGAGGGACTGGGGGAACTGGGAGGGACTGGGATGGACTGGGAGGGACTGGGAGGGACTGGGGGAACTGGGAGGGACTGGGAGGGACTGGGAGGGACTGGGGGAACTGGGAGGGACTGGGATGGACTGCAGGGACTGGGAGGGACTGGGGGAACTGGGAGGGACTGGGAGGGACTGGGAGGGACTGGGGGAACTGGGAGGGACTGGGATGGACTGGGAGGGACTGGGGGGGACTGGGGGAACTGGGAGGGACTGGGAGGGACTGGGAGGGACTGGGATGGACTGGGGGAACTGGGAGGGACTGGGATGGACTGGGAGGGACTGGGATGGACTGGGAGGGACTGGGGGGACTGGGAGGGACTGGGAGGGACTGGGGGGACTGGGAGGGACTGGGATGGACTGGGAGGGACTGGGAGGGACTGGGATGAACTGGGGGAACTGGGGGAACTGGGAGGGACTGGGAGGGACTGGGATGGACTGGGGGAACTGGGAGGGACTGGGATGGACTGGGAGGGACTGGGGGGGACTGGGGGAACTGGGAGGGACTGGGAGGGACTGGGAGGGACTGGGATGGACTGGGGGAACTGGGATGGACTGGGATGGACTGGGAGGGACTGGGATGGACTGGGAGGGACTGGGGGGACTGGGAGGGACTGGGAGGGACTGGGGGGGACTGGGAGGGACTGGGATGGACTGGGAGGGACTGGGAGGGACTGGGATGAACTGGGGGAACTGGGGGAACTGGGAGGGACTGGGAGGGACTGGGATGGACTTGGAGGGACTGGGAGGGACTGGGAGGGGCTGGGAGGCGGTGGAGCGGGGCAGAGGGGGCAGGGGATGGCTGGGAGGAGCTGGGGGATGTGGGGAATTGGGGTGTGCTGGGATATACTGGGATGAGCTGGGGGGCCGTGCTGGGGAGGGCTGGGTGGTACTGGGCTATACTGGGCTATACTGGGATGCACTGGGCTATACTGTGTTATACTGGGATGTACTGGGATGAGATGATGGGTCATGCTAGAGTGGGCTGGGCTATACTGGGATGTACTGGGATGTACTGGGGATCCATGCTGAGGTAGGCTAAGAGGTACTGGGCTATACTGTGTTATACTGGGATGTACTGGGATGAGCTGGGATGTACTGGGATGAGCTGAGGGGCCACGCTGGGCTGTGTGGTGCAGTACTGGTCCATACTGGGACACACTGGGCTGTGTGGCAGTGCACCGGTCCATACTGGGACACACCGGTCCATACTGGGGTGCACTGGTCCATATTGGGGTGCACTGGTCCATACTGGGACACACCGGTCCATACTGGGACACACCGGGCCGTACTGGGACACACCGATCCATACTGGGGCGCACTGGTCCATACTGGGACACACCGGTCCGTACTGTGGCACACCGGGCCGCTCCCGGGGCACACCGGTCCGTACTGGGGCGCACTGGTCCATACTGGGACACACCGGTCCATACTGGGACACACCGGTCCGCACTGTGGCACACCGGGCCGCTCCCGGGGCACACCCAGGATCTCTCGGCGCCTCTGTCCCCGCACAGAAGGGGAAGTCCCGCGGTCCCGGGGCCCGATCGAAGCAGGACAAGCCCCGGGCGCGGCCGTCCCGCCGGGGCTCCCCGCGGGGCTCGGGCCGCGCCTCTCCCCAGCCCAGCCCGTCCCCGGAGCCGCCGGAGCCGCTGGACGTGGAGCCGCTCCTGGACGAGCTCCTGCAGCGCGTCCTGGCCGAGGTGGCGCTGGCGGCCGTGGCTCGGCAGGTGAGGGGCCCCTGCCCACCGTGATTCGGGGGGGTTTGGGGGGCCGGGGGCGCGGGCGGGCTCTCAGCGCCGCGTCCCCGTGCCCAGCGGGTGCCGTTCGCGGTGGCGCGGGCGCGGGATGCCATCCTGTTCGTGGCCGAGTGGCGCTTCCTGGTGCGCGATGACAAAGTCCCCGAGCCCGAGGGGGACCCGGAGCCCGAGCGGGACGGGGTCTGGAAGGAGGACGAGGAGCCCCCGGCCGGGATTTGGGACTCGTGGACGCCGGGCGTTGTCGCCGTCGCCGAGGCCTCTCCGCCCTGGGAAGAGGTGAGAGGGTCTCCGAGCCCCCGGAGCCCGCCCGGGCCGCGGGATGGCGGTGTCACCGCACCCGTCCCCTCTGTCCCCTCTGTCCAGCTCTCGTCCGAGGAGCTCTCCGAGGCAGACGAGGCTCAAAGTCCGCCCGTGGGTCCCGGTGAGGCTCCCGGTGCTGCTCCCGCCGTGGATTTCCCTCGGCCCAGCGGTCCGGTCCCGTCCGGGGCTCTCCCGGTGACAGCCAAAGGTCCCGTCGGTCGCGACACCGCCGTGGGTGTCCCTCTGTCCCCGGGCCAGGTGAGACGTGCCCCGATCCCCCCTCCCCGAGACCCCTCGGGCTGAGCCCCAGCGGTGTCACCCACACCGGGGGGACCCGACCCCGCACTCACACCGGGTCCCTCTGCCCGCCGTTCCAGTCCCGCTCCGCCGCCGCTCCCGTTCAGCCTCCCGGTCCGCGGCCGCCGCCCCGCCCTAAGCCGCCCAGCGCTCCGAAGCCCCGCGAGCGCGGCCGCCGCCGCTCCCCGTCCCCCGGGAGGCGCCGCCAGCCCTGCCGGCCCCCGCAGCCCCGGGCGGCCCCGCCGGTGGCGCCCCCACCCCCGGTTCCCCCGCCGGTCGCGCCCCCTCCCCCGGCTCCGCCGCCGGCCGCACCCCCGGAACCCGCGGCACCGGCAGCACCGGAGCCCCGCGAGCAAGAGGCGGCACCGCCACCATCATCATCCTCCCGCTCCAGCGGGGCGTCCGTCCCCCCGCGGCGCCCCTCCCGCAGCCCCGGCGTGCCCCGGCTCGGTGCCCGGCGCGGCGCCTCCCGCTGGGTGCTGCCCGAGGTCAAGGTGCTGGACGTGAGCACCGAGGCCGAGCGGCCGCGCTTGGGAGCGTCCCGGAGCCGCTTACCGGTGCCGGGATCCCTCGTGCAGGTGATCCCGGGCACGGCTCGCGCCGCCCGGGCCGAGCCGCAGCTCTGCGACCCGTGGCTGGCCTCGGTGCGCCTGGCCCCCGGTGTCACCGTGCGCTGGGGACACTGCGAGCGCCGCGGGCCCGCTCTGGCGGGGCACGCCGGGGACGAGCAGGGGGACGAGGCGCTGAGGAGGGCGGAGAAGGACCTGAAGCCCATCCTGCCCTACCCGGAGTGCCGGCTCTCGGAGTACGGAGAGGCGGAGGAGTGGCAGGACCGCCCGCTGGAAACGGAGCGGCTCCCGGGGCCGCGCCTCCCGGCGCCCGGTCCCGCTCTGGGGGGTTCCATGTCACCCCGGGTGTCGCCGGTGCAGTGGCTGGAACAGGCCGTGGCCTCGGGGGACCCTCCCGGAGATCGGGGGTCTTTTTCTCAGAAGTAAATAAAAAAAACCACTAAAATGAGTTTTGCGGAGATCACGGTGCCACCCGCACTTGGCGGGTCCCCGCAGTCCCTTTGTCCCCAAATGAGCGATGTGACGGGGTGACACGTGTGGCTTTGGCCGGGGAATGGGAACGGGACGGGCAGAGGGTGCCCGGAGCCTCCTCTGCATTCCCGGGAGCTCGGGGTCCCTCGCTGGGACTGTCCCCATCCCACAGGGACCTGCTCCAGCCCTGGAGTGTCCCCGCACTGCCCGAAGGGGACATCGGGGGACATCACCCCTCCTGTAGCCGCCCCGGGGGTGCAGAGAGTCCGAAGTGGCGCGGGCCAACAGCCCTGGGGACCCTGAGGTGGCACCGGGGACACTGAGGTGGCACCGAGGACAGCGATGTGACACGGGGAGCTTTACCTGTCCCCAGAGTGGCATTCAAAGAGACCCTCATTAGCATATTAGTGGGCGTGGTTCCAGCTCATTTGCATGAGGTGCCACGCCCCCTGGGTTTGCAGTTCCTTTCGGCACCAGGTGAAGTCTCAGGCGCGGATTTCGGCTCCTCATTAGCAGAGATAATTATGTGGGCGTGGCTTCCAGTTCCTAATTAGCGCCAGAGGGCGTTCACCACTTAATTGAGCGCTCATCGAGGGTTCACTCCGGCGGCCCTACAAAACAGGGAACCCCCAAATCACCCATCCTATTAGTGACCACATTTTTTGCGCTGGTACAATTCCTCTCCTGTTACTCAACACGACAGAGGAACGTTCCTCCCGTGTTACTCAGCACCGTAGGAACGTGTCGGGTCCAGCCTGGCAGAAACTGTTGGTGGAGGAAAACAAAGCCCAGGTGTTTTTACAGCACCACAGGTTGTTAAAAGGAATAAATGAGGTGTAATTTCCTGACAGGGTGGCCCTGGGGACAGTGGGGTGGCACAGGGGACACGTGCCTCACCTTCCTGCCTGCTCCAGCCACTCTGCTGTCCCCTCTCGGCTCCCTCCCGGAGCAGAGGGACCCGTGCCGTGCCGTGCCACCGGCCGGGCAAAGGTCCCGCTGTGACCTCTGTCCCCAGCGCCACCCCGCTCCCGGCCATGGAGCTGCTGGGGGCTCTGAGCCCCCCGTGGTGGCTCCTGCCGCTCCTGCTGCTGGCCCTGCTGCTCCGGGCCACCCGCAGGAGCCCCTGGGACCCCCGCAAGTGTCCCGCCGACCTGACGGGCAAGACAGTGATTGTCACCGGAGCCAACAGCGGTGAGCAGGGAGGGACGGCGGGGACACGCGTGTGGCAGGTGGCGTGATGGCTGAGGGGTGACCTGCAGGGGACATGGGTGTCCCTTGGCCAGCCCAGGACCCCAGTCCGTGCTTTGGCTGCAGAAGAAGGTGGTGGCCATCCCAGGGCACCCACAGTGTGCTCCTGGTGCCCTCTGCTCACCTTCCTTAACTCGGGACTGTTAATGACTGCCGGACAAGGCCACCACGGCCACCATGTCACACCAGGAGTGGGGTCACTGCTCCCACCTCTGTTCGGCTGCTGGAGATGCTGGGACCCCCGGGCTGGGGTTGGGATGTCCACACACATTTAGGGACAGAGTGACCCCACTCGCGCTGGGCTCCATCCCCTCCCCAACACCCACCATTCCCTGCTGGGCGGTTTTGGCTGTGCCAGGGGCTGCCCAAACCCGGGGACACCGACCCCAAAGGACCAGCGGGACGCGGCTGGCATCCCCCACACCCTCCCCGTGTCCCGCAGGCATCGGCAAGTGCGTGGCCATGGAGCTGGCCCGCCGCAATGCCCGCACCATCCTGGCGTGCCGGAGCCCGGAGCGGGGCCAGGCGGCCGTGCGGGAGATCCGGGCGGCCACCGGGAACCCGGCGGTGCTGCTGAGGCTGCTGGACACCGGCTGCATGGCCTCGGTGCGAGCCTTCGCCGCCGGCGTGCTGCGGGAGGAGCCGCGCCTGGACGTGCTGGTCAACAACGCCGGAGTCACCGGTAGGTGCAAACCGGGCAAAACCCTCCAGGGGGACAGAGCCCGTCCCGATGCCCACGGCGGTGGGCATCGTTTGTCTGTCCGTTTGTCTGTCTGCACTGAAGGCGTTTCAGACGGTGATTGTAAGCTGGGAGCTGGTGTTGATCTGTTGGGAGGAAGGAGGGCTCTGCAGAGACTCAGATGGGTTGGATGGATGGGCAGAGTGCAGCAGAATGGAGTTTAATAAAACTTAGTGAGAATTCTACATTTTGGGCACAAAAATCCCCTACAAGGTTACAAACTAGGGACGGTGTTCAGGCAGAGAGGGACCTGGGGGTGCTGGTCCACAGCTGGTTGAACGTGAGCCAGAAATGTGCCCTGGGGGCCAAGAAACCCAATGGCTCCTGGGCTGGGTCAGGAATGGTGGGGCCAGGGAGGTCATTGTGGCCCTGAAGAATGGTGGGGCCAGCAGGACAGGGAGGTCATTCTGCCCATGAAGAATGGTGAGGCCACCAGGAACAGGGAGGTCATTCTGGCCCTGAGGAATTGGCCAGAATTGTGTGCCCAGCAGGAGCAGGGAGCTCATTCTGCCCATGAAGAATTCTGTGCCCAGCAGGACAGAGAGGTCATTCTGCCCCCGAGGAATTGGCCAGAATTGTGTGCCCAGCAGGAGCAGAGAAGTCATTCTGCCCCTGAAGAATTCTGTGCCCATCAGGACAGGGAGGTCATTCTGCCCCTGTAGAATTCTGTGCCCAGCAGGACAGGGAGCTCATTCTGCCCTTGTAGAATGGTGTGCCCAGCAGGAGCAGGGAGGTCATTCTTGCCTTGAATAATTCTGTGCCCAGCAGAAACAGGGAGGTCATTCTGCCCTTGTCCTGGGCACTGGTGAGGGCACACCTTGAGTGCTGTGTCCAGTTTTGTCCCCTCAGTTTGAGATCACAAACACAAGGCTGGTGAGGGGATTGGAACACAAACCCCGTGAGGATTTGAAGGAGCTGGGGCTGTTCAGCCTGGGGAAGAGGAGGCTCAGAGGTGCCCTTATTGCTGTCCACGCCTTCCTGAAGGGAGGTTTGGACAGATGGGGTCAGTCTCTGACAGAACCAGAGGACACAGCCTCAAGCTGCATCAGGGAAGGGATAGGTTGGATATTAGGAAAAAAAATTCACCAAAAGAATAATAAAGTACTGAAATGCCCTTCCCAGGGAGGTGGTAGAATTACCATCTCTGGATGTGTTTAAAAAAAGCCTGGCCATGGCACTTGGTGCTGTAGTTGAGGTGTGTGGGCATGGGTTGGACTGGATGATCTGAGAGGTCTCTTCCAACCTCATCATTCTGTGATTCTGTGTTCAGACTCAGGTGTTTATTATTTCTTATCAGTAAAACAATCTCACTACTGTGAGTCGGGCAGCTTTTCATTAGAAGGCACAAAATGGCCAACAATCTCTTGTTATAAGGTCCTTTATTATCCAATTAAGAACTGACACCGAGATTATTTTCCCTTTTTAACCCAATAACTGATCCCAACATGGACTTTTCTGCCCAATTACAAAATGCCACCCAAACCCATGGAGAAGAAGGAAGAAGAAGCATGAAGAAGAAGAAACCCAGGATGACACCCTGTGCCCTCCATCTTGCTTCCATCCACAACATCCTAAAAATCCCACAACCTCAATTTCTCACCTAAGTGATGCACCTACACTGCTCTCTATAATCTATTTCACACTTTTGTGGATTCCAGTCTATCTTGAAGTCTGGGAAACTTTCTCCATGGATGAGGGTCAGAGTCAGTGCTGCCCTGGGGGTCAGGGCACCCCAGAGCAGACAGAGAAATATTCCCTGTGGTGCCCTGGGTTTCCTCACCCACCCTCCTTTCAGGGCTGCCCTTTGCCATCACGTCGGAAGGATTGGAGCAAACCTTCGCCACCAACTACCTGGGCCACTTCCTGCTCACCAACCTGCTCCTGGGTGAGTGCAGGGCTTGGGGGAGTCAGGGGGGCTCTGGGGACTCCACATTGGTATAATTACCAATTAATAATTGGTCATTATTGGTATAATTACCAATAATTACCAATATATACCAATATATTGGTAATTATTGGTATCATTACCAATAGAGGGATGTACCTTGAGTTGTCTGGCCCCTGTGGCTGAACCAAATAGCGGCACTGTGGTGATTTCACCCCAGAGACACTTTTGGCCGGCTGGATGTGTGGTGTTTCACCTCAGAGACATTTTTGGCCGGCTGCATGTTGCTGTGGGTGCTTGGAGGCAAGTCCAGGCACGTAGGAGATCTGGTGGTCCTCAGGGTTACCTCAACTGCAGCAGCTTTAAGGCGATGGTGAAGGAAAGGAGTCGGTTCTGATGGAGGGTTTGGATCCAGAGCTTTATTGTGGCCCACAGGCTCTGAATCCAGAACAGCTCCCACAGAACTCCCCAAAACACGTGGCTGCTCTTTTACCCAAGGGAGGGGAGGAGGGAAAGGGTAGGAGCCACCAACCAGGTACACAGAAGGAGGTCTCAAGGGACAAAGGACACCTAGATGGGCCAATGTCCCCTCATGGGTGGAGGCATCTTTTGAATTCTGCCAATTCTTGTCTGGAATGCCAGGACTGACAGACAGTGCTGGGAGGGGTCAGGAGAGGAGACTGGCACACCTGGCAGGGGATTATCAGGGGTATCTGAGGCAAACCACAACATGGCACCACAACACCAACCCCCTGCTTGGCACAGAGCTGCTGAAGGCCTCGGCGCCCGCCCGGGTGGTGAACGTGTCGTCGTTCCGGCACAGCGTGGGCACGGCCGACAGCGGGTACCTGACGGGGCAGCGGCGCCCGGGCGGGCACGACGCCGCCTACAACAGCACCAAGCTGATGAACGTGCTCTTCACCGCCGAGCTGGCACGGCGCCTGCAGGGCACAGGTGGGTGCTGGGCCGTGCCAACTCCCTGTGCCAACTCCCTGTGCCAGATCTCAGGGGCTGCCGCCAGAGCTGGGGGGTCTGAGAGACTCGCTGGGATCCCCCAAGGGTGGGAGTTCAGGCTGGGGGCTGCTCCTGTTGCTCCCTGAGGGATTTGGGTCCCTGGGGTGCCACCCTGCTGACGGTGTGACCTGGCAGGGGTGACAGCCAACGTGCTGAGCCCGGGCATGGTGGCTTTGGGGCACTGGGGTGCCACCCTGCTGATGGTGTGGCCTGGCAGGGGTGACAGCCAACACACTGAGCCCGGGCATGGTGGGAATTGGGGTCCCTGAGGTGCCACCCTGCTGACAGTGTGGCCTGGCAGGGGTGACAGCCAACGCGCTGAGCCCGGGTGTGGTGGGTTTGGGGCATTGGGGTGCCACCCTGCTGACAGTGTGGCCTGGCAGGGGTGACGGCCAATGTGCTGAGCCCGGGCATGGTGGGTTTGGGTCCCTGAGGTGCCACCCTGCTGACAGTGTGGCCTGGCAGGGGTGACGGCCAACGCGCTGAGCCCGGGCGTGGTGAGCACCAGCATCATGCGCCACTTCAGCCGGCCCGTGCGGGCGCTCTTCGCCCTCCTCCGTCCCTTCATGAAGGTGAGCGGGGCCGGTCCTGCCCATCCCGGGGGCAGCAGGGTGGGTGGCAGGGTGGCGCCAGCCCCCTCCTCACCCCCATTTCCCCACAGTCACCCCAGCAGGGCGCTGCCAGCACCATTTTCTGCGCCATCTCGGAGGAAGCCGAGGGCATCAGCGGGAAATATTTTGACAGCAGCTGCCGGCTGGCGCTGCCCTCGGAGCTGGCCCGTGATGCCGCGCTGGCTCGGAAGCTCTGGGAGGCATCGGAGCGGCTCACGGGGCTCACGGAGCAGGGCTGAGCCACCGGGATGTCACCTGTCAGCGCGGGAATGGGGACATGGAAGCTCGGGGAGCCATCGGAGCGGCTCACGGGGCTCACGGAGCGGGGCTGAGCCACCGGGATGTCACCCCTCAATGGGAGCACAGGGACGCTGCTGCTCTGCTCCCCCTGTGCTGCCGAGGGGACAACGCGGTGCTGGCCAGCTGTGACAGTGACACTTTTATTAAAAACCCCGTCGCTACTCCCAGGTGATGTCCAGCTCCAGGCGCTGCTTCCTCACCTCGTGCAGGAAGCTGTCGTAGTCGCGCCGGTGGATGTCGGGGCAGCGCGACAGCTCCAGGCGCCGCAGGGGCCCCTCGGTGCCCAGCAGGTGCCACACGGTGCCCGGGCACACGCGGCTCCCGGCCAGCGACAGCTCCTGCAGCTCCCGCAGCCCCGGCAGCGCCGGCTCCAGCACCGAGTCCAGCGGGAAGGGCAGCGCCAGCAGGCGCAGGGTTCGCAGCCGGGGGGCCCCGCAGAGCAGCGAGGCCAGCGTGGAGCTCAGCACGGGCCCGTGCGAGGCTGGAACGGGCCCGGCCAGGCTCAGCGTGAAGCTCTGGAGCCGGGGCAGCCCCCGGGGCAGCAGGTCGGTGGCCCAGCGCGGTGGTGGGGCAGGGGCTTCCTCCTCCTCCTCCTCGGGGGGCTCCTGGTGGCCGTGGGGGTCTGGTGGTGCCTCCAGCTCGGCGGTGAAGCTCTGCAGGCCGGGGCAGCTGGCGAGGAGGGCGGGCAGCGACAGAGGGTCCCAGCAGGTGAAGCCATGCAGGGTCAGGGCACGCAGGCGGGTGCCCAGGCTCTGTGCCAGGGGCAGCAGCGCTGCCAGCGCCCGGCCGTGCCGCCCGGAGCAGCCCAGAGTCACTCGGGACAGGCAATGCCAGCCCTGCAGTTCCCGGAGCCCCGAGGAGCCGGGATCGTCCCCAAGCCACACGCTGAGCTCCTCGGCCTGGGGACACACGGCGTGCACGGTGCTCAGGGCGTCCTCCTGCACCTCCTCCAGCTGCCGCAGGGGCAGCGTGAGCGGGGCTCCCTCCCCTGCAGCCGCCCGGCTCCGCGCCAGCTCCTCCAGCGAGGGGAATCCCTCCGAGTCCTCGGTGCCACCCAGCTGCCCCGAGTGCAGCAGGCACAGGGCATCCTGCAGGGCACCGTGTGCCAGCACCTCCAGGCACGGCAGCGCCAGCAGCAGGAAGGCCACGGCAGCCACCGCGTCGCCGTCCCCGGCGTGCTCCAGCTCGCGGGCCAGCAGCACACGGAGCGCGGGGCAGCCCGGGCTCCGCTCGGCGGGGTCGTAGCCCAGGTGGCGCAGGGCGCGCGGTGTCACCTTCCTGCAGCCGGTGACATCGAGCTCCCGCAGGTGGCGGCAGCAGGAGCCCACGGCCGAGAGCACCTGGAGGTTGGCCTGGGTGTGGGCCAGCCCCAGGCGGCGCAGGCGGGGCAGCCCCTCGGCCACGTCCACCAGCACGGCCGGGGACAGGCGCCCGCAGCCGCCCACATCCAGCACCGTCAGAGCCTGCGGGCACACGGGGACAGCCTCAGGGGCGGGCAGGGGGGCACTGCGCCACCCTCACCCCCTGCGAGACTCACAGAGGGTGGGCAGGCACTGTGTGCTCCTACTGTCCCAGCCCCTCGGCACGTGGATGGTGGCACCCCCAGCCCCATGGATGGTGGGCACCCCAAGCTCTATCCCCCTAACCCCATGGAAGGAGGGCACCCCCAGCCCCACAAAGGATGGGAACCCCTGTCCCACCTTAGACTGGGGTCACACCCAGCCTCACTCCCTCTGCCCCATAGCCCTGATCCCCCAGAGTGTTGTCACCTGCTGAGCCCCTCCACCTCAAGCTCTATCCCCGTTATCCCATGGAAGACGGGCACCCCCAGCCCCATAGAGAATGGGCACCCTGTCCCACTGTATCCCCTAGAGGGGGTCACACCCAATCTAACTCCCCCTTTCCCACAGAGTGGGACACCCCCAGCCCCATGGACAATGAGAACCCACCCCAACCTCCATCCCCCTGCCCTATGGAAAATGGGCACCCCCAGCCCCACAGAGGATGGGCACCCCTGTGCCACCTTCCCATCCCTTAGAGGGGGTCACACCCAGTCTAACTCCCCCTGCCCCACAGCCCTGCACCCCCAGAATGTTGTCACCCCCTGCCCCATGGATGGTGGGCACCCACCCCAAGCTCTATCCCCCTAACCCCACCCAAGGTGGGCACCCCCAGCCCCACAGAGGATGGGCACCCCTGTGCCACTCTCCCATCCCCTAGAGGGGGTCACACCCAGCCTCACTCTCCCTGCCCCACACCCTCCCAGAGTGTTGTCACCCCCTTACCCCATGGACGGTGGGCACCCCCAGCCCCCTGCCCCCTCTCCCAGCCCTGCCCCGTGCCCACCTGGCAGCGCAGCACGACGAGGTGCCCCAGGGCGTTGTTGGCCAGGCCGGGGCAGGCCGTGAGGCTGAGCTGGCGCAGGTGTGGCAGCAGCAGCAGGTGCAGCGCCGCCCTCGACAGCCGCCGGCTCGTGCCCAGCAGCCGCAGCAGCTCCTGCACCAGCCCGCAGGCTGGGGGGCACAGCGGGGTCAGCCGGGCCTGGGGACACCCCCTGCCACCCCCCACGGGGGTCCCGGTGACACGGGGCACCCCCCAGAGCTCACCCAGGTCGTTGAAGGGCCCCACGAGGAAGCGGAACTGGTACTCGTCCAGGTAATTGTCACTGTAGTCCTTGGCCCAGAGGCTCTGCATGTGCTGGGCCAGGCTCTGCAGGCACAGCGAGGTCAGCGTGGGCACTGCCCGCCGCTGGGGCATCCCTGCAGGGCACAGGGACAGGGACAGTCACCATGGGCACTGCCTGGTGCTGGGGCATCCCTGTGTGGGCACAGGGACAGGGACAGTCACCACGGGCACTGCCCGCCGCTGGGGCATCCCTGTGTGGGCACAGGGACAGGGACAGTCACCACGGGCACTGCCCGCCGCTGGGGCATCCCTGTGTGGGCACAGGGACAGGGACAGTCACCACGGGCACTGCCTGGTGCTGGGGCATCCCTGTGTGGGCACAGGGACAGGGACAGTCACCACGGGCACTGCCCGCCGCTGGGGCATCCCTGTGTGGGCACAGGGACAGGGACAGTCACCATGGGCACTGCCCGCCGCTGGGGCATCCCTGTGTGGGCACAGGGACAGGGACAGTCACCACGGGCACTGCCCGCCGCTGGGGCATCCCTGTGTGGGCACAGGGACAGGGACAGTCACCACGGGCACTGCCCGCCGCTGGGGCATCCCTGTGTGGGCACAGGGACAGGGACAGTCAGGGACAGCGAGGTCAGCGTGGGCACTGCCCGCCGCTGGGGCATCCTTGCGTGGGCACAGGGACAGGGACAGTCAGGGACAGCCACCGTGGGCACTGCCCACCGCTGGGGCATCCCTGTGTGGGCACAGGGACAGGGACAGTCAGGGACAGCCACTGTGGGCACTGTGCCACCAGGACATCAATGGGACCGGGACAGCCACCATGGGCACTGCCTGCTGCTAGGACATCCCTGCATGGGCACAGGGACAGTCACTGTGGGCACTGTGCCACCAGGACATCCCTGGGACAGGGGAAAAAAATTGGGAAATGGGGAAAAGAGCCCTGGGAAATGGGGAAAAAATTGGGAAATGGGGAAAAAAAAATTGTAAATGGGGAAAAACCTGGGAAATGGGGAAAAACTTCAGGTACTGGAAAAGGAGCCGGTGGGACAGGAGGAGACCCCCGGGAATCGGGAAAGCCCCTCCAGGAAGCGGCTGAGGAACAGAGAGAGCTCTGGGACACGGGGAGTGATCAGGGCAGGGCCGTGTCACTGTCACCAGGGCAGGGCTGTGTCACTGTCACTGTCACCAGGACAGGGCTGTGTCACTGTCACCAGGGCAGGGCTGTGTCACTGTCACTGTCACCAGGGCAGGGCTGTGTGCCACTGTCACTGTCACCAGGGCAAGGTCCAATGGGAGCTGCCACGGACAGCAGTGGGACACGGGATGGGACATTGGGGATGGGACACACGGGATGGGACATTGGGGATGGAACGCAAGGAATGGGACACCGTGAGGGGACATTAAGATGGGACATTGGGATGGGACATTGGGAATGGGACACCAGGGATGGGACATTGCGAATGGGACATTGGGGTGGGACATTGGGAATGGACACTGGGGATGGGACATTGGGAATGGACATTAGGATGGGACACCAGGAGGGGACAGCAGGAATGAGACACTGGGAATGGGACACCAGGGAGGGGACATTGGGATGGGACAGCGGGGATGGGACACCGGGAACGGGACAGTGGGGATGAGACACGGGATGGGAAACCGGGGATAGGACACTGGGGAAGGGACACAGGGATGGGACATTGGGATGGGACACAGGGATGGGACACAGGGATGGGACATTGGGGAAGGGACACAGGGATGGGACATTGGGATGGGACACAGGGATGGGACATTGGGGAAGGGACACAGGGATGGGACATTGGGATGGGACACAGGGATGGGACATTGGGGAAGGGACACCAGGAATGGGACACGGAATGGGAGCGGATCACCGGGACGGGCCCAAACCCTTCCCGGAGGTTCCGGATCGGGCGCACCGGGGAAATCCCAAGGGAGGCAATTCCCCCCTTTCATCGGCCCCTTCCACTGGGGACCCTCGCTGACCTTGAGACCCCCCCCCGCACTTTGGGGTTCCCTCTGAGCGGTCCCCTCCCCAAACCCCAAAATTCCCAACCAGAGCCGCGACCAGAACCCAACCCCAGCCAAACCCCAGGAACACCCACGCCGTTCCCATGGCAACACCTCCCGCCACCCCCCATTGCTGCGGGCGAGCCGCGCCAGCCCGGGAGCACTCACCGAGAGCCGCTCGATCCCGTCCCGCCGCGTTGCTTCCTCCTCCTCCTCCTTCTCCTTCTCCTTTTCCTCCTCATCCTCCTCCCCGGGCCTGGCCCCGCCATCACTTTCGCTGCCTTCACTTTGCTCACTGCGCATGCGCAAAGCGTGAAGACCCTTCCGCCTTTACTGCCCTAACGGGCTGCCCAATGCCCCGCCTGACTCCCAGTGCGG